TGACACTGCAGTATTACAATTCCATAGCACTATGACAAGGCAGTACTACAATTCCGCAGTACTATGATTCCACAGCACTATGACACTGAAGTGCTACAATTCCACAGCACTATGACAAGGCAGTACTACAATTCCGCAGTACTATAATTCCACAGCACTATGACACTGAAGTGCTACAATTCCACAGCACTATGACAAGGCAGTACTACAATTCCGCAGTACTATAATTCCACAGCACTATGACACTGAAGTGCTACAATTCCACAGCACTATGACAAGGCAGTACTACAATTCCGCAGCACTACAATTCCACAGCACTCTGACAGTGCAGTATTACAATTCCACAGCACTATGACACTGCAGTACTACAATTCCGCAGTACTATAATTCCACAGCACTATGACACTGCAGTACTATAATTCAATGGCACATGTGGTATTGCGGTACCACAATTCCATGACACCATAGTATTGCAATGCAAGACATTATAGTTTCCTCTTTAAAGTCCACTTACCACAGTCTTCCTCTTGGTCACACAAGAATCGCTGTGGCACACATCTCTCCCCACAATTGAACTGATCTTGAGCACATGGATGATCCACTGAAGGAAATAAACACCATAGATTATAACAATATCACATCCTACTGAAATATTCCAACTCTTTAGATATATATGAGCCTGTTTGTTTAGCGTGGACCCACATCACAATCAGTAATCTGAGGTTGGTTCACTGACATTAGAACCTATGTAATGGATAGTGCAAGCGAACTTTCAGACCACAAGCCCAATCCAGATTTGTGTGAAACAAACGGGCTTTATTTAACATTTCAAGTGACCCAAATTTTAAGACATTTTTTTACGAGAGGGTTTAAAGTGCCAATATGAAAATTTGTCATCCACTCTCTCTAAACTGAGTTAGTGCTTTGTCTGAAATTATATATATTGAAACCCCATCCGTGTATTGTAAATCATGTGCTTTCACAGACTTGTCATTAAATATTCATAATTACCTCAGACAGTCTCCCTATTCAACAATGCGCAACTTGACCGTGTATTAACATTTGATAATACCCACTGAGAAGTGATGATGCCCGCTGTGTAAATTACGAACTGGTGCCTAGATATGATGACCGTTTAATTGATTCTGAGAGGGCAAGAGTCTGCATTCACGCGGCTCGTCACGTGCGTGCCAAGTCCATATAAGAAAATTCTTTTGGACAACTACAAAATAAAATGGACGAGAGTGTTCGGGAAAACAAAAGTAAAATTCTACAACAGAATCGTTGGAAATCCATCAAAAATTGACTTCTTTTGACTATCTGACTAAAAAAGGGTATTTATGAATGGGAATAAATATTTGCTTGGCACAGGGGACTGATTGCTGATAATGCCCTTGCCTGTGGGTCGGGCAGTAGCTGTGTCCATTCTCCAGAGCCAAGTGCATATTTGTTCCCTTAGTGATGGTGTTTAGTGATATAAGCTGACAGTTAGCTTGACTGAACTGAACTGAAACTGTTGTCAATATTCTGAATGCTAGTCTCTCGAATGTGTTTAAAAAGAACCACACATCTGTTGAAGTTGGAAATGGGTGCCTGTTTCTTAATCAGGAACTGATTCCTGACATCAACATTCAAGAACTCAGGTATTTGGTTCCTACATACACCCCTACTTGATACCTACCACTGACAGCAATGGTAGCTTCAGTCAGTGTAATGTTCTTATGATAGCCAGTCACTGTGCACAGGTAGATACCAGCATCTCGTTCATCAGTGAATCCTGTGATTTCTAACATGTTGCTGCTTACTCCAATTTGACTAGATCTTATGTTTCCTTCTTCATCACCTGCAAAATGAATTTAAACAAAAGAACAGCGAAATTGATGGAGACCTTATGGATTAAGTAAAATTTATAGAGGGTAAAATCTGGGTTAGCTTTATACAAATTTGGAAAATTGCTTCATTGCTGAATAAATGCATCCTCCACTTGCCTATGAGATAGTTTTAAGTGGACAAAAATAAACAAAACAATGGCTGGAATAAATGATACCAACTTGGTTGATGAATTTTGTCAAAGGAAAAAAAATGTCCTACGTAAGCCATAATATTGGCTTTCCAATTAATCCTTTTTTTTCTGGAACAAATTTTTAAGTAAAGGGGGGACAATGTTATTAAAAATTGTGAGACACAGGGAAGCTAAAACTGTGGACTGACAGTGACTTTTGTTTCATTACAATAAGGTCCCATTGTGACTGTCATGGAGGAAGAGGAAATGGAGAGGGATTGTGGATCATTGAAGAAGCTGAAAGTAATATCCATATGAGCAGTTCAGTGGGAGAGTGGAAAGACACGGGTTATAGGAAACTAAGATTTCAGATACTTTACACACAAAACTTGGATATTTATGGTAATGACCACAAAGATGTGTCATCTGGAGAAGGAAAATAACTGGGAAGGGGAAGCAGGAAGAGGGATATCACAGGGAAGTGGCACTTAAGATTGCTTACCAACAGACAACATGGAACCTGCAGGTCATGACCACACAGATGTCTCATTTGGAGGAGAAAAAGAA